TAGTTTGAGGCTCAGGGCAGGTCCGGGTGGGCACTCGGGCCTGTGCAGGTAGCGGCTCTGCCGGAGCCGCTCTGTGCTGCCCCAGGAGCAGGCGCGCCCACTGTCTGGAGGGGCGCCCCTCCCCCACACTGAGCACAGCCCTGCCCTTGCTCAAGGTCGAGGGAGCCGGCACCCAGCTGGGGGGGCGCGGAGGGGGCCGCCCCAGGGGAGCCTGGGGTCAAGGACCAGGCATATTTCACCCAAGGCACCCTGCCCACCCCCCACCTGGAAGCGAGAGGAGCGGGCGCTGGCCCGGGTCTCCTGGCGTCCTTCTGGGCCCAGTTCAACGTCCGGGCCAGGCTGGTTGAAGATTACTTCGCAGGAGTAAGGAGAATCCCAAGAACGATCTTGGGCTTGGGGGTGGGGCAAGGCGGCCCTGGGAAATAGGGAGAATGGAGGTGGAGCCCCGCTCCAGGGCCTTCTCTCCTGGGGCGCCCCTCTGTCTGGCGAGCTCACACGCCGGGCCCTGCCGTCACGCGCGGGCTCCCCCCGCACCCGCCCACCGGAAGCCCGTCCTTCATCCCCGCAGCCGGGCTCCGAAGCGCCTCGCCGTCCCCCCTCGGTGTCTGCTGCCCCGCCTGGGCCAGACGCCACATTCGCTGCCCAGCCGCAGTCTCCGCCAGCCGGACCCCTGCCTGGTCTGTGCGTCTTACACGGTTCTTCCTTCCATCGGGCCACACCCGCCAGCTGCTGTTTCTCACGGCTCCCTTCTCGCGCCCCTCGCCCTCTCCCGACCCCTGGCGAGGCCTGACCCCACCAGCGCCCTGCGCCGGACCAGCCGCAGGTCCCGCTGGCACCGTCCGGCTCCGCCGCCCAGTAAGAGCCAACTCCATCTGGCATTAAGCCAGTTACCGGGCTTAGCACAAATGTAAGAATTCGGAGCGTTCCCTTGAATCTGAGGTTCAGAAAAACACGCTTTCCAGATTATCTCCTGGGTATCTGTGTGCCAGTCTCAGCTTGGGCATCAAAGAGCGCACGGCCTGCCTGGGGCCACGCCCTCAACACGTGCTCGTCAGTTATCCAGACGAGTGTGACGGGCCTGCACCTCGGCCTGAAGGTTTCA